TTTAAATGTTTTAGTAATTTTTCAGTTCCAAAACCTTTTTTTTTTCAGACTGCTTAAAATCTATTAGTAAAAATATGTGATGTCTAGTTGACAATGAGCCATCAATTCTGCAGTATAATGGAAGAGAACTGGCCATGATGTCAATATAGATTTTATAGTTTAAATGATATGGCTGTTTCTTTGTTTAGTGCTGACCATTGCGAAACAAGACAGTCTTTTAAAAGAAGCCAGTAGTGCTGACAGAAGACAAAAAACACAGTAAGCATTATGAAACTTGCCCTGATTTATTTATAAAGACAAGTCAGATATTATGTATATAATACCACATAGATATTTCATGTATGGATATATTGCATGATTAAAGGCAAAGAAGGGAGTTAAATCCTTATTTATGTAAATTATAATCAGACACATAAAAACAGTAAATGCTTTTTCAGCCCTGTTTCAAATCCATTTTAAAGGCCAAACAGCTCAGCTGTGTCTAGACTGGCAAGTTTTTCCGCAAAATCATCTGCTTTTGCGGAAAAACTTGCCAGCTTTCTACACTGGCCGCATGAATTTCTGGAAAAGCACTGATGATTTCATGTAAGATTGTCAGTGCTTTTCCGGAAATACTATGCAGCTCCCGTTTGGGCAAAAGTCTTTTTCTGAAAGACTTTTGCGCAAAAGGGCCAGTGTAGACAGCACAGTACTGTTTTCCGCAAAAAAGCCCCGATCGCAAAAATGGCGATCAGAGCTTTTTTGCGGAAAACCACGTCTAGATTGGCCACGGACGCTTTTCCACAAAAAGTGCTTTTGCGGAAAAGCATCCTGCCAATCTAGATACGCTTTTCCAAAAATGCTTTTAACGGAAAACTTTTCCATTAAAAGCATTTTCGGAAAATCATGCTAGTGTAGACGTAGCCCTCTAGTTTGGTATTTAACTGTGATTTACACTACTTTTTTAACTGTTGTTGCTCTGATTTCTTAGTGAGAGACTCTCAACTTTCTCAAGGAGTTTCCATCTCCCATCCAGTTATTATTAGTAATACTTTAGCACAGTCATTATCAAGCCGTTATCAAGCTGCCAGGTCTCACAATTCCACTTCAGTGAGGCTCTGCAGAGACAGAAGCATTGAGGGCTAATGCCAGAGCTAGAAACATTCGAATGTTTTTTACAAGCTGATTTCAGGGTGTCTAGTCCATACACTGACTGAAACAAGAAATGTTTATTTGGACATTCAAAGACATCCACTAGTAGTCTGTAAACTGTTTTTTGTTCTGTTTTGTTACTGTACAATATGGAAGGCTGTCCATTGTCCTGTTTTGTCTGCAAAAATGGTTTAGGAAAGGAGCCTCTTTCATGAAAAAGGAGAGGTGTAAGTGAAAGGAAATTACTGATAGTGGAGGTTTTTCACAACCAATGTAAACTCTGCATCCACTCCTATAATGAGATCTGCAATGGAAAATTATTTTTATATTAATGAACCCAGCCTGCGTACTGTCTGAAACCTCATTTTTGTTTAAACAGTTCTCGTAAATTATACAGGTATGCATACATGCTCAGGTCATAGAATCACAGAATCCTAGGGCTGGCAGAGACCTCAGGAGTCAAGTCCAACCCCCTGCTCAAAGTAGGACTAACTCTACTAAATCATCCCAGCCACGGCTTTGTCAAGCCAGGACTTAAAAACCTTTAGGCTACGTCTACACTGCAGGCTTTTTGTGCAAGAACAACTGTTCTTGCGCAAAAACTTGCAGAATGTCTGCACTGCACTTGTGTTCTTGCGCAAGTAAATTTACAGTAAAGTGTCGGAACAGAGTGCTTCTTGCGCAATAATTATTCCTCTCCCCACAAGGAATAAGCCCTCTTGCGCAAGAAGGCAGTGTGGACGGGCAACTGGGTTTCTTGCGCAAGAAACCCCTATCACTAAAATGGCCATCAGAGCTTTCCTCCTCAAGAGAGCAATCACAATGCCATTGATGCTCTTGTGCAAAACAGTTCTTGCGCAAGAAGCCTGCAGTGTAGATGTAGCCATAGGGATGGAGATTCCACCACGTCCCTTGGTAATCCATTCCAATGCTTCACCACCCTCCTACTGAAATAGTTTTTCCTAATAACAACCTAGACCTCCCCCACTGTAACTTAAGACCATTGTTCCTTGTTCTGCCATCAGTCACTACTGAAAACAGCCTCTCTCCATCCTCTTTGGAACCTCCCTTCAGGAAGTTGAAGGCTGCTATCAAATCCCCCCTCACGCTTTTCTTCTGCCGACTAAATAAGCCCAAATCCCTCAGCTACTTCTCAATGGTGCTGCAGACCCTGGTTGACCACCGTGTATAGTTCACGGGCATTTTTGTTGGCTTGTAGGGCAGAGCACACAATGCCCACGTCTCAGGAACTTAAGCCTGTATGGGAAGCTGGAGGTGGGCACATTCTTCCCCCACCATGGCTTTGCAGTTGGGGACGTGTATATGTCATTGTGCATTGTGGGGGACACAGCTTACCCCCGATGCCATGGCTAATGAAGCTGAACACAGGTCACCTGGACCCCAGCAGGAACCAATTTAATGCCCACCTCAGCCAGGCCCGAATCCAAGTGGAGTGCGCCTTTGGGCATCTGAAGGCACGGTTCAGGTGGCTGCTGACCCACCTGGACGTGGGTGAGCACAACATCCCCGAGTTGATCGCAGCATGTTGTGTCCTCCGCGACATAGTGGAGAGGAAGGGGGAGGCCTTCCTCCCAGGGTGGGGGGCAGAAGCTGGCAGCAAAGGACAAGCCTTCCAGTAGCTGCAGACAGCTGCCATCTGCCAGGGTGAGCATCCGGGAGGCCCTGAGGGAGAGGGTTGCTCAGGGCACGTCTAGACTACCTGCAGCTTCCGAAAGAAGATATGCAAATTAGGCACAAATTTGCATATCTTCCG